GGGGGGGGGCCCCGTGGTGTGATTTGGGGGGGGTGTTCGGGGCCTCCGACGCGCCCCCCCCGCCGTGGGAAGCGTCCGAGCGTGGATGAGCTCGGGGGTTCGGTAGAAAATTCGCCCCCCGGGGGGGTCCCCGGCTACGCCGAAGCCCACCGGGCAAGCCCAGGAGGAGGCATCTCCGGGAACGGGGAGCGCGGTGGTGGGGATCGCCGCTTTCCGCATCCCGGGAATTTTCCTGGTTATCCTCAGGCAGGAAAAAAATAAAAACGCTTCCAGAAAACGATAAGAGCCGAACCCCTCGCGTTCGGGCGGGGAGGGAGGAAGATGCTGTCGGCAGGCGGGATTCACGGATCCGAGATCAGCGAGGAAAACCGGGGGCTTCTGGCCTCCGCGCCGCCTTCCCCCCGCAAGCGAAGGGGACGCAGGCGATGAGCCCGACCCGGTGAGACGGGGATGCCAGCGGCCACCTCCGCCTCTCCGAACCACTACCGTGAGCTCAACACCCGCTCCGGCTCCGACCCGGGGTTGGTTTCCACATCCCAGGGTCGCTCCTACAACCGACGCTGCCTGCTCTGCTCAGCTCTCCGCTAAGCTGCCCGGCGGGGCTCTCTCCTCTCCAGCTCGGCCCCTGTTTCGTGCTCATCTCACCCCAAAATTTCCGCTCGAAACCCAAGAAATTTCACCAAACGGCTCCCCGCGGCCTTCGAGGGGGTGGTTGGGATCCATGTCCCACCGTTGCCTTGTTTCGGGGATGAAATAAAAGCTGCCCCGCGTGCTCTGCATCACCCTGAGATGAAATCCCCCCCGGTATCGGGGGGACGGCGCCGGGCCCCCCGACAGCTCCTTCCTGCGGCGGGCAGGGAGCCCCTGCCTGTTTACGGCCGGAGGGGAAAGGGCAGATATTGTCTGGAGCAGGAAGAGGAGGGTGTGGGAGGAAGAACGGAAGAGGACTGAGCCGTCCCGGTCCTCCCAGGGTGGGAAAAGCCGGGGATTGGAAAACCAAAAGGGTTTTCCCTGAACTGTCCCCATTTCCAACACCCTTTTTTTTTCTTTTTAGGAGGACTCCAGCAGCGTCACGGCAAAACCCACGAGGCGACGGCCCCGTCCCGTGTCCCCTCGATGCTTCACCCTCGCCGCTGAGACCTCTCCGGGGTGGAAAAGCGCCGTCTCCCGCTGCCCAGCTCCAGAGGCGCTGATTTTTCAGGATTATTCAATGGCGGCCCAAAAAAAATAGATGTTTTCCCCGAGGAGGACCTCCCGAGCCGTCTCCCGCCGTACCCCAACGCACCGGGTCCCAGACCCTCTGCTAAATAGCTCGAGTGAACCTGCACGAAACCCTTTTACAAATCGATTCCACGGGTAGAGTCACTGCTCAGCCCGCCAGAGCGAGGATTAGAAAAGCCGGAGGAAAAGGATCTTCGCCAAGAAGATCGCTGGAAAAGAAAGATCAAAAAGTCCAGTGAAGGGCAGGGAGAGGGCAGTTATTTTTACAAAGGGAAGGGGGGAAGGAAAATAAAAAAAAAAAATAATAAAAAAAAAAGCAAAACCTCACCCAAATAATTACAAAGAAATTAAAGAACAACCTAAAAGCAAAGCGTACAAAAAAGACCGGGGGGGTTGGGGTGGTTTTTCTTTCTTTTTTCTTTTAAGATTACAATGTAAAATGTAATATAAGGTCTGAAGGACAGCTCGGGCACTGTCCAAACTGTCCCAGAGGGTCAACCTGTTCCAAGATAAGGCATCAAAGAGACCAAGCCATGGTCGCAGCAAAATCTCTCCTCTCTCAAACGAACACATTTTATATTTTTATATATATAATAATAATATAGAATCTTTTTTCTTTTTTTTTTCTGGTTTTTTTTTTTGTTTGTTTGTTTTTTTTTTTTTTGGTTTTTTTTTTTTTTTTTTTTTCTAAAA